AAAGAAGCTTTTCTTTGTCACTCTACTGACTGGCAAACAGGGCTGCTGCCTCACAGCTGTCTTTCCTTCCATCCATTTGAATATTTAAATCACCAACTTCATTGGCAGGATGGCATAATGATCATCATTGTCATGTAAAAACATCCTGTGTTAATCCTCGGTAATTACTGACATGTCCATGGAAAGAAATTATGATCCTATAAAGATTTGGTGTGCTGGTGACGTTTCTGCAATTACCTGTATTTACCGGAGCCATCCGCAGTCATTCCAAGCACCCCTCCCCGATCACGGGATCATACCGGTAAGGAGTGCAACTAGCCTTTTCTTTTTTCCTATGTCACAAGAAAGTGACATGGGCACTTAAGACTAGACAGCTCCCATACTACAGAGCAGAAGGACAAAGACTTGGGACCCGGCGTATCACACGACATGAGTTTTTAGCCATTGTTTTTCCAAATAAAAACATAAAGTACAGGATTAGGTAAAAGATATTTATTTCCTCTCAGTAGATGAGCTTTAAATCGATAATTTAGCCATCCTAAAAACTGTACTTCGCAATGTATATTTCTTTTCCACTTAACTGATAAATGGCCATTGATTAACAATGAGATATTACCTTATATGAACATTACGCTTTTGGAACGTTACCTATATTATATCTACTTTATTTATGGTTATTTCTTTTAAGAATTGATGATACATTTGCTTTTTAATTTTGATCATGTCATCATATTTTGAAAGTTACAGTTCTGCCTGGGACCAATTCATTTTTCAGAATAAAATATTAGCTATTTAAGATAACATAGTAGATCAGCCACTCATCCCAAAAGGCATTTACTTAATAACAGTGAAAAACATCCCAAAGTAGAGGTGAGCAAACTGAATCAAACAATTATGAATTATTAAAGGTAAAGTCCACCTTTTTTTAAAATGATAATAAATACACACATTTTCAGAAAAGAAAAAAAGGTACTATTATTTTGCATTGGAGTCAGGAAAGCATTGCAACCGTGATCAGTGGAGCGTGGATCCAATGCTCTGGCTCCTGCAAACTCTTCCTCCTGTGTATGTCTGTACCTCAGACATTCAATAGCATGGATAAGAGGAAGAATTAGTGGACTACAAGTGCGGTGAATTCACCTGACTTGTATTACATTGTGAATTACAAGTCCCTCTGCTACGGTGGCTGATGGGACTTATAGGTTTTTCCATTCACAGATCCTGTCAAAGAATCTGTGTATGGATGATGCAGCTATGTGGGTGGGGCTACGTGCTATTTTCAAAAAAAGAGGAGCAGCCTGCAGCAAAAAGAACTAATTAATACAGTCATGTATTCACTAGAAATAATAAACTGCATTTTTATAGTGATTTTTTCATGTATTTTAAGTGTAAAACTGGCCAGAGTCGTACCCTGTATACAAAGACTGTAAATACTTACCTTTCCCATTGGAACACTACTCTGTTCAAGAGTAATGGTCCGTGGAAGTCAACTGGAAAACCAGCAAGTCCGTATGTGTCAGTCTCCATGATCCCAAGTAAAGCACATTGGTTCTACCTGTTGACATTGCAGGAAAGTAATGACTTGGAGGTGAACTGGAGATACCATTGACATTGACTCTCCTGGAAGTGTAGGTTTTCCAGGGGACTTTGGTGCAGGCAGTCAAAAACAGCAATACTACTAACAGTAATTAGGACAAAATATAATATACCCAACTAACAGACTGGCCAATATTACATCAAGCTCAGCACAATCCTTCAACTGTCTCTTAGAAGATGCTCCAACTTGTCCCAAGTGTCACACACAGCACTCAAAGATCAAGGTGGTGTTTACTTCTTTTGTTCACATTATGGCATTATTGACATAAAAGAGGATCCCCTTGTCTTTAACAAGAGGACCTCCCTCTGTGTGACAGGTCAGGACCATTTACTGCCCATGTGTGGCCTCTGCTCAAGGTTAGAGGGAGTGAATAAGAGGAAGATTAAGAAGCAGCACCTTCCATTCTAGAACAGAAGCAGGCAAGGATCTGCCATGATTTTTTCTAAAAATAGATATTGTGGGGACAATTGTGCTTAAACAATACTGGTTTTTAGCTTACGTCAAGACTATTCAGACCAGAAACTAGAAGAAATCAATAACATGTAGTGTTTATGCTAGTTAGTTGTTCTCAACTAACTGACATGTCTTAGAATTGCCATAATCCATAATATACAGAAATAATGTTACTTGATTCCTATCAATGTAACATTTGTTGATGGACATGGGCCATATTTAGGATGAAGAAAACTTGAAAAGCGTTCTGCTGAACTTGTATCTTTTATCCCCAGCTTCTATCTGCAGTGCACAGTTCAGTAGAGCCCTACTTTAATTACTGTACTGACCAGCAGCTTCGGCATAGGGGGCCGGGGCAGGCCGAACATTAGGCTGATTGTGTTTTCTGCCCGTCCCGGCACCTATGCCCGAAGCTGCTGGCCGCCGAAGGGTGCGGGGGAACGGAGATGGTGCCGTCAGATGAGCTGTGGAGGGGAGCGTGGCAGACAGTGCTGAGGTCCCCATGCTGCGACCCGTCCTGTAGGCAACAGCCAATGTCTGTGAAGGTTCTCATTCATCCAGGTCACATGGTATATCTGTAAAAAATAAGTCAAGGCAACTGGACTTTCTGTATTTTTCTTGACGTTTCACTGGTCATCCAACCAGATTTCTCAATTCAGAAATTTCTGATATGAGAAAGCTGGTTGGATGACTAGTGAAATGTCTTCAAGTAAAATACAGAAAGTCCAGTTGCCTTGACTTATTTTTTACAGATATTCTCTATAGCAAGCTTCCTGCATTGTTGCAAGGCTTGTGTGTCAGCTGTAGCCCTCCGGTACTTACTAGTGGCCGGCCCTGCCCCTCGATTGAGCTTCTGTGTTTGGCTCCGCCCCCTGTTGTGAGGGGTGGGGCCTGTTAGTGGTCACGTGATTGGGCTGCTCAGTCTAAAATGCCCGGGCCTATTTTTAGTCCCAGTCCGGCCCTGCTGTACTGTATAGGTTAGCACTCAGTATGCCATTCTTACTCCTTCCCACAAATGGTTCATTAGCAAATATTTGCAGTTTCTCCAAGACTTCAGTACAGACAGTGCTCTGCAGGACACCGTATATCTTTCCCAGATTGTGACGGGCACTTTAATGATGCTGACACCAAAGGTTTTTGGAATGGCTACCTGGAAACATCCCCAGTTCTTTGCTGAGCTCTCTCAAATTGTCTCATTAGAGCACTCATAGTGGAGTCATTTCGTCTTGAAAATACTCTTCACTCTAATAATTCCGAATTTATGCTTTGCTGACATTTTGTTGACTTAACATTGTACTTTGTTTAAGTGGATTAGGTCCTGGCATGGATTGGATTCTTGGAGCTTGCAGAGCATAAAAAGTAATGCTCTTACTGTTTCATTCTCATGTTTTAAGTTCAGCTTGTAGTTTGGGAAAAAGGGTCAAGCGATAAATGTTTACACCTCAGTACATACTAGCAGAGTGTTGATCCATGTTAGCCATTATCAAAAGCAGGACCATTATGTGATATATTGGATGAGTTGATTCAAACTTTAGGATTTGGGGACAGGTTCCATGGTAAGGCATAGTTAAATCTGAACTTATATTTCCACGAGTGGTACCTCTTGGCAGGCCTGACACCACATACCTTACTGAACCAATATGTCCCAATCCATCTAAAACAAGATGTCTTGAATACTATAACTGAACTCACAGCTCCTCAGTTAAAGCACATTCTGTATATATGCATTGGAGTAATACATTTCCCCTTTGGACACACCCACCCTGGCTGTACTATAATAATGAAATCCATAAGTAGGGTGACAACACAATTTTGCAGTCAGTGAACTAAATCCTCACACTGATGACCCCCACGCTGAACCCTTTGCCATTCTGCAATCCCACCTAAATTATTCTCCCTCTAATCCATCAACATAAAAGACAGATACTCTCACTTGAAGTCTGATTTCAACTGTTAGCTGGCATGAGGTAAGACAATACGAAGACAAATTTCACTTACTAAACTGAAAAATCCTTTACAACTTTTAATGGAATTAGTAATTTTGGGGTCCTTCTTGAAAAATGTCTACCAGTGACCAAAAACGTTATGTCAGCTGTAGACCACGCTCATGACCCTGGACATGTCCAAGTATCACTTGTGGTCCTACCACAATCTCGAGAGGAGTCTTTGAAGGATGTATAGTATGTGGTACCAACCAAAACTGCAACAGGTAAATCTGACCCCCCCATCCCTGTTCTTCTTTACCATCCACAGCCGAAGAAGGCTACCATTGCTTCTTCTAAGAAACCATTTTCTAACTGGGACTTTGCTCTTGTCGATATAGTAGCACTGGAAAATATTTTTTGGGAATAAAAGGGATGAAAGATGATACAATTCACCTGTAAAATCTGTATTATTGAAGCATTGCTCCAATCACGTTCTGCTGTGTACTGCCAGTTTTATATACACCAAAATGTTGGTCAGCAATGATCTAATTCCCATACATGAACAGCTGCACAAAACCTGAAATGTTGGTACCATGTACTGGTGTTAGAACATCTGTGCCTTTTTAAACTCTGAAACTGGAAATCAGGATATTCCTACATCTGTCAGGATGGCTGCAATATATGGAGCAGAGGGAAGGTCACCCTTCATGGAGTATACTTTCCATCATTTTATTTTTGCATTGATTTTTTCTTTTATGTATTTTGTACTTTGGTATCTGTAAGGTGCCTGTGTTATATAACAGCTGTAATTTTGTCCAGGGCAGATTGCAAAATGATTTTCAGCCTGAAAAATCTTGAATGCATATGAAATAATTGTTCTATCTAGAGGATGATTGTGTGGAAGTCGGATCCTTCAAGAATCAAGGACCTTCTCATGACTATGACTTTAAATGCAATCTTGCAATGCTGTGGGGTATATTATTTATACAAGTTCAAAAATCCAAAAATAAAACTGAAAATCATACCTTGTAGCCTCTGGATCCCAGATAACAATATCTGCATCAGAGCCTATGGCAATCTTCCCCTTCCTTGGGTACATGTTAAAGATTCTCGCAGCATTGGAGCTTGTGACAGCAACAAACCGATTCTCATCCATAATACCACTGTGCTGGAAAACAGAGCATCAGACGTGATATAATAGGAACATTGCTGATGGGCTCTAAGAGAACCAGCTATAAAAAAAGTTATTTTTGTCTTACTGAAATTTAAATGTACCTGTAGTGATTATAAAGTTGGGAAACCAGACCTTGGATGCAGTAGCAGGCACCTACATGAATGTAACTACAGTTTTATTCTAGAAGCACTTCAAGAGCCCTAAATCCTGTGGTCTATTATGCAAATATAGACGTTAGTCTATATAGACCTTAGTTTGGAGGCTTTGCCACACCAAACATTTGGTCATTGAAACCACAGATGACCCATTGATGAGTCAAGTCTTAAGGTGTCTAGTAGATTCTGCTCATCACAGTGCCCTCTTTTGGTGCTTCAGCTGAGCTAGAACAAATGTATAGACCAACCTTTCTCAACCAGGGTGCTGCGGCACCCTGGTTTGCCTCCTGGCTTCCTCAGGGGTGCCTCAAACTCTCGTGGTAGTGAGACTGTAATGTGAAAGGGGAAATGAAGACTGATGTAGAGGGGGAACTCTGATCTCAAAGGGAGGACTCTGATATGAAAGAGGGGCTCCTCATATGAAAGGCCGCTACTGATGCAAAGGGTGACTCTTGATTTGAAGGGGGCACTTTGTTGCGAAGGGGAAACTCACTTTTTTGTCTGTTTTTGCGTGGGATCCCCCTTGAAATTGATGACATTTTTTAGACTCGGATGCCTTAAGATTTTGCATACTAAAAAAAGGTTGCGAAACGCTGGTATAGACTTCCAGAGGTGCCAACTATTGCAAACTCAAGGGTTGCTTTACAGTCATAAAAAGGTTTGTTTTATTACAGCATTTCCTAAACTTTAGACTGAATATATCAACTTCCAGCAACTCCCTTGGGTCCAAGTCACATTGGCGAAATACAGCTGCCAGTAGCAGTAACTTTCTCGAGGCTCAATTTGAAGCCCTGCTGTAAAATAGACCTAAGGAGCAGGAATTCAGATTACAAAGATGGCAGCATGACAAGTGACACACCCTCTGCTAGCTGAGACAATTTGGATTTGTCAATTATGCTAACCTGGCATTCTATTTTCTGTCATTTCAAAGGTAATGCATCTTTTTAGTAACTTCTTTATTATGTCTAGGATAAAAAAAAAAAAAAGTAAAAATAAATAAATATATAGTTTACTTCTACTACTTGTGGTCATTAAGTTCCAGGCAGTAACAGCAACTTTTTTAAGGCTCATTCTGCAACTCTGCTGTAATGAAGAACCAAAGAGCAGGAATGAGCAGATGACACAGATTGCAGCATGACTCGGATAAGAGACCATATACATTTGTCAATTTTACACAGGTTCCCAATAAGCATACAGACAGAGCTGGGTTTTCTTTGTTGAAAGTCTAACATGCTTTGCAAACAGATTTATTGATGTGACTTTTTTATTTACTAAATATAAATGTAAAATTGGTATAAAACTTTTTATAAAATGTTTATAAACTTAAACATAAAATGCAACTGAAAAAGCATTATATTTTGCCCTTTGCTGCTTATGTTGACATCATCCGATTGCCAAGGGTTAATATTGTGCCAGAAATGTGTGGTTTTCGGAGTTCCTAAAAACTATTTTTATCCCTCTCTATACTGGTCAATAACTGTGACAGCTTTGCCAACAGAGATGACACATTGCAACGGACGCATGAAAAAGATTAGAGGGAGCCTAAAAATACCCATTGTATCCTCTGACGAGTCCCATGGAGGTAGAATATAGTGTATAGCAAAGAGGACAACACTCTTTTCATTTGTTACATACTGCCTGGTTATTCTGTGTTTGGCTCTCGTATTCTGGCTGTCTTCCTCATCTTCCAGATCTACTACTTATCTAGAACATTTATGCAGGTCGAGGGGTCCATCTTCCCTAATTGCATACTTGCTCCAGGTCAGTAACTATGTGAAGCTGGAAAATTAGACGAAAACATGGGATATTGCAGGTTTTAAATCAAGCTGGCATTAACAGAACCCATATTTCACTGACGAAATGGAATAATTTTTAGTATTTGGTAGCACATAGTGTTTCTCGTGGTGTTTCTCCCCACCCCCTCCCCCCCCACCATTTTTTCTGGAAAGCAGAGAAACTATTTGAGTGTTTACTGGCAGCTCCATCTTCTGGTGAAATCTGGTATTGCAGTACAACAAGAAAATACAGAGATCCTCTAGGGAAGCGCTGGGTTTCACTGGTCAGACTCCAATGTGCCAAAAGAAAAACAACAACAGGACTAAGGTCCTGAAATACAGGATTTAAATTCTGTTACCAATACACTGATATAGGTCTTACCACTCCTTTCTCCCAGACAACGGACATCCTGTCCTCCACACCGTTCACTCCATTGGGGATCTTGGTGAAATCGTCTTTTCCAAGTGCTTTCTGGTTTGTGTTAAATGTACAGTTATCTGTTCCTGTGACACTCAGATCGTCACTGAAAAACAATCGGAAACACATAGGTTAGAAATATTTGTAGTTCATGTATCCTGTGTGTGTGTGTGTGTATACACACACACTATACATTTTCTACATTTTACATCAACTGTCTCATTTATTAACATTGCAATGAACAATAGTAAGACGTTTACCACAGCAAACTAACAAAGATCCAGAATTCATCCTTTAGACCAGGGGTGTCAAACTCAATTTAATCGTAGGCCGCATCAACATTATGGTTGCCCTCAAAGAGCCTGTAAGACTATATAAATGTATCTAATCTTTATCATAATTGCCTCTGCATACGATTATCACTGGTTTTAGTAATAACTTAATACCTAGATCTGAAAGTAGAAGTCTAGAAAAAGGCCTGGTGGGCCGGATTCGGCCCCTTGGCCTTGAGTTTGACACATGTGCTTTAGACCAATGAAAACCTGATTAATGATAGTTTGGTTTGAGGTTATTGCATTCCACCGGTATTTTTATAAAACTTGCATACTGTACATAAACTACTATATAATAAATCATGAGAGACATTACTTTTTATACATGATTTGAAGCAGAGCTAAGATAAGCTGCAATTGTATCTTACATGGCCATATATAGCATCATCTCATTATAGCTTTATGAAAACTACAATGAATTCTTTATTCTGTCAGCCATTGTTAAATAAAAGCCAAATGTAAAAGAGCTTAAGCCTATTTACAGATAGCAGTGGGTGGTCAGATGCAGTGCAGCCACAACCCAACCATCCTCAGGGTAGTACTTTGTGAGAGCACTTCTGAAACTGTCAAGGCCTCTGCTGACCTAGCAAGTGTATGCCATTGGAGGGGGAACCATTGCTGGCAGATGGTCCCTGACTTTGGATCTAAACTAAGTCAGGGGGACATCACTGCTAACTTTAGGAGCAATGGTGTCGCCCCGCCAGGTTGGTGGTGCTAGGGAGTGATACTATGACCACTAAATCGCTTCTTTCTTACTCATAGGTAGTAAACAAAGTGGTCACATGGCCGTCATTTCCTACAGGCACTACCGGGAGCCTAGCACTGGATTCATGTGTTGTCATGGGCTCCAGGCACCATCATGGGGACCCCTGAGTCAAATAGTGACCTAGAGTTCCCACAAGATTTTGGTGGCCATTTTGGGATGGAAGGGTGCCATAAAATAGCATGACCTGTGTCACATGAGGCACACAGTTTGGGGAAGTGGAAGAGGCAGGAACAGGAACCCATCTTGGCAGGGACAGTTAGTCCTCACCCCCTCAGTTTAGAGCAGGTTAGAGTCTGGTGACTGGTTGAAGGAAGAAACCTGGTACTCTGCCAGCTACTAGTCAAGAGTCAGTCTGTAGAAGAGTTGTCCACTTGATGTGGGGCTACTGCTACCAAAGGAACCCATTACTACTTAATTTATGTTTTATATAATCTCCTGACTAAAAGCTGTATCCTTGTTCTGTATTTGTGTTCCCTGTTAACTGTGCCCTTACATTTGAAGTGGATCTGAAGAAGGCAAATTGGTATTGTTTTTGCCATTTAACATGGATAAACATTGGTATTGCTTCTTTGTCTGTGACATCTCCCCTGGGGTTACTACCATTACAAGTTCAGCCCAGATATAACCATCCCTCTGTCCAATAAAAACATCCTTATTGTCTACTGAGTCACTCTCACTGAACAGAAGGACAGTGGATGACCACCACATCAGTACTTCGTTGGGCCACGAGATGACTCCACGAGATGACTTCGCTGGGCCGCCTCGCGACTCCACGAGATGTTGGAAGGTGATGCGAGGAATCTGACACTGCACTGTTGCCCTTCTGATGTCTTGTACCAGTCTTGCCACTCTCCGTTCTGCCCTAACATTGACTAGTCGATGATGGCCACAATTCGCACGTTCAGACCCAAATTTTCGTCTGACAGTCCAGTCTTTAAACACTTTAACAACAGCTGCTCTTGAACATTTACCGAATTCTGCTGTTTTGATGGTACTCGCTCCATGGCTCGTGCAAACAATCATCCCACATTCAAAGGCTGTTAAATCGCGTTGTTTACCCATATCTTCAGAAAAAAAATTACTAATACTGTTGTGGTAAACAACCTGCTTCCCTATTTATAATGGACTGCCCCTCTAGCAACTTTATCGCAAAATTATAGCTAATTATAGCTAATTTGCCTACAAACGACAGGTGGTCATAATAAACTGGCCACTCAGTGTATAACAACCCTTAGTAGTAAAATAAAACCAGGAGCAGAGATGAGCACAGAAAATACTTTTCTGCCTAAGAAGACTGATAGTAGATGCTTTGTGGTGCATGCTTCAAGACAGAACGTTTACTTTTAGATTAAAATGTCTGTGAGGGTTCTTATTTATCCAGGTCATGGTAGTCTAGTAGCAGCTAGTCACATTCAGCTGCACCCATTTTGTAACCCTAAAGGCTTTTCACCACTTATCCAAGTGGACCTAAGGAAGCCACTCAGATAAGTTGTGAAACTTCTTCAACATTCCAAATAAATTCAAAGCCACGTTCTATTTGGCAGCTTTACAACTACAATGTCTGACAGCTTTCCTTTATGTGAGGGAACTGTGCCTGAGGTCAAATAGAGTGTACGTTGACACTCTGCAATATTCCAAGATGCTAAAAAGTAGTTGTGCCGAGCAAACCTAATTAATTTACTCCTAATCTGCTAGATACCATCAGTTTTGGGTAGTCTTTGTCCTAAAAAAGTGCTTTTCATTGTGTTCCTTGCTATCTACATACTCATCGGGGTTTGAATTTTTGTTCCTGTATGTGGCCACCCCTCCTCTTCAGCATGCCCTAGCTTAACCTACAAACAAAAAGATGAGCTTCTAAGGAGAAACAGAAGTTTCCTTTATTGTGATGTAGCTGAGGAGGCAAGCACAGACACATATTTTAATATTTAAGAGCCCAGGTTGTTCTGTAAAGATGGAGCCTTTTTTCCCTCCTAGCACTTACAGGCTGGAGGTTGTCTAGGAGCTCCTGGTCCATTAAGTTGTGTTGTGCTTCCTGGAAGAAGATCAGTTAATACCATGATCAAGATGTGACAAGATCACATAATGTGCACAATACTTCTCACAGACAAGAGCCAGCTGTCATCGTGTGCTGTGTCGTGTTCATGGGTTTTAGGAAACTGATTAGAGCTAAGGATGTGATATTTCATCTTGTCCTACTTATTTTTTTGGAACTGATACAACCTGAAGTTTTAAGGAACAACATCATCCCCAGTAGAAGTCAGAGTCAGCCGGTGTTGCCTAATGTTTTAAACACTGTACTGTTTAGGAACAGTTCATTTTGATTTTGGGCAGGCACCAGATCACTTTATCACGGTCAGATTAAACCTGTTGATGGCTATACACTAGAACATTTTGCAGCTTTCAAACTGCTTTCAGCCATAGTTGTTTTCGAGTTCTCAGTGACCAAATTATACACAAGGGGGTGGAAGTTCGTCAAATCTACCACAATGCCCCTTTAGAAGGGAACTGTTAAACCACTTCTATCCCAGTTTCTATCATGTGGCAAAAATTGCATTAGGCATGCCATTAGCCATTAGCTTTTAATCATATTTTAACTTTTGAAGTGCCTAATATATATTTACAGACAGTAGATGGAAAAGCCCCAAAAGCCTCTGTAAAGAATTGACAGGATATGCTCATTCTGAGTTGGTATATACTGTATAAATGCCCAAATGCACTTCAACAAAAGTATCCATACAAATCCAAAGTAGGCCGCTGTATCTGCTGCAAAACCAGTGAGTGCTTATATATAAATATTAGGGATGCACCAATACCAGTGTCGGTGGAGATACTGGGCATCATCATGAAGAAGATGGTATTCTGCATTGCTGTATAATGTATTGCGGGGACATGTAGTCCCTCTAAAGAGTCAGTGGCAGAACTAACAGGGTTGGAGCGGTCACAGCTGCCACCTGGCCCTGGCGCTCCACCTTTGTCCTAAAATCATTAGTCTGTATTGTTTTAGAAAAGCTGTCACATGAGACTACAAAAAGGTATGGGTAATTGGTATCAGCGAGTACTTGCAGATTGTATAATTATAGGTACATGTAATCAAACTGAAAAAAATGGCATTGGTGCATAGTATACCTAATTAAGATATATATATATATCCTATAGCATTCCTTTTAAAGTCAGATACCTGGTCCTTGCCATACTTTCATACTTACTTAGCCAACAGCTGCATGAGATATTGTGGTGTAGTTGGATCTGGGCGAAGGGGTGGTCCCATCACATGTGCTGCAGCATGACACCAATCTGTATGCCAGTAATTTGTACCATCTGTGCCAAGACCAGCGGCAATTGGCTCTCCAAACACTACTTTACCTAAAAGAAATGCAATTAAACAGTAAACGATGCCTGCATATCTGATAGGCCAGTATCTCTCCTCTACGTTTTAATATTAAAATTACATTTGAAAAGAAATGTCAGCATTTACTCCCTTGGTGACAAAAAGAAAAAGAAAAAACCTCATAATGTTCGATGCTTAATGCTAAAAATGCAGCTTTGTTACCAGTGCACAATAAATCTTCAACTGACAAGTCTCCCCAAAGAGTGAGCCTCCTTGAGTTAATGACGCCTTTCTAGACACCAGAGACCTGGACTGTATCGCTGTGCGCTGTGTAAAATATGGAGAGAAAGATCTGGTTATACACATAGAACACCTCGATAAAAAGAGGATTACCAAGCAAAAATTCTATTACATTCCATGTTGCCATTCAAAGGTAGCAAAAGTCTTTTCTCTGCATTCTGAATTGCTCATAGCCAATTCGTGACCATGTGACTGTATGTTGCACCCTCATTATCTAGGCTGGGCTTGGATACATTAGTCAAATTTTGCAAAGTGAATAATAGAGCTCTGGTCCCTCAAGAACCAATTGGATGTCTCCTATTATTTTAAACCTCTAGTAGGCAAATAATAGCTGGGGTCTGGTTGATTATTATATGAACTTATTATCAGAATTCACTTTTAGTGTGAATCAATGGTGCAAAAGACAGCCAAATTAAGACATTATACTATATAGTCAAACGTTTGTGGGCACCTGGCATACATAAATGTATAAGCTTGTTGGACATCCCATTCCAAAACCCTGGAGTTGCCTCCACTTTACACCCATAATGGCCTCCACTCATCTGGGAAATATTTTTAGGCTGTGTCTGTGGGAATTTGTGTCAGGAGAGCATTTGTGAGGTTAGGTACTGATGTTGGAAGATTGCTTCCCAATTCATCCTACAGCTTTTTAGTATGGTTGAGGTAAGCGCTCTGCACAGGTCACCCTAGTTACTCCACAACCAACTCATCAAACCAGGTATTTATTGAGCTGGCTTGGTGCACAGGGACACAGTCACGCTAGAGCAGAAAAGGGGCTTCTCCAAAATGTTGCCAGAAGGTTGGAATTGCACAATTGTCTAAAATGTTTTTGTATGCTGTAGCATTGACAGAAGTCTTTACTGGAAACACCTCAAGGGATATCTACATACATTTGGCCATATAGGTAGATGTACTGGTCAGGTGTCCACACATTATTGGCCATATAGTGTACCTATTTCTTGGTCCTGAGCTCCCTCAGGTGACATTTACCTAGCTTAAGCATCCCTTTTGGATAAAAACACCCACTGTATCCTTCTATGTGACTAAACCAGAATCCAATATTGACAGAACTTATTTTCTGTGGCCGTATGGGTTCGAGTCTGCTTATAGTGGTAAGATTTAATCTGCTGGTGTCTGTCCAAAACTGGAATATTAGGGTTGGGAACATGGGTCCTATGAAAGATTAAAACCATCTCCGACAATGATCTTCTATTAGTGGATAGAATTCAGGATCTGAGTTTTTTCCAATTTTTTTTATTGGGGTGGGGGGGCTTCGGTTTGTCATTAAAGCAGACCTTGCACTTCATGCAAGCTCGTCTTTAATGATAGTTTTTTTTAATGGCAATATCTAAAACAAGGGTGAGACATTTTTCATCTATAAAGAGAACTACATATAATTGTTACTTCCTGGATCACCTCGGAGTGCCATCTGCTGGAAGATTCTTAAATTTCACTGTGCAATGATGCTCAATTAGACCCCAAATTTAGACATTGGTACTCATTTAATAACAATGTTGCAAAGATGAATGCAAATAAGTAGAGATGCACTGATATTTTTCAGATACCAGTGCCGATACTTGCCATTTTCAGGAGAACTACCATGGTTACAGCGGTTGCAGCTGGGACCTAGCTCTGGCGCTCCACCGCTGCCCTGAAATCATTAGTCTGTATTGTTTTAGAAAAACTGTCGCATGACAATAAGGCCTCATTCACACACAACGCAAGAGCAAAATTGTATATTGCGTATATACGAGCGTCTGTGCACGTTTATACGAGCGTATGTGCGTGTATGCGTGCACTATTTGCATCCCCAGAATGCATCATTCCTAATAGAAATTTTAATGAACTGTACGCACATACGGTCGTATACGCGCAAAAACATGACGCAGAAATACGCTGCCCGGACGCATCTTGGTAGCATTCTGTTTTGCGCAATTTTACACTACGCAAATATACGGCTGAATGCGCGGCTATGTGTATGGAGCCATTTATTTGCATATGTTGCATATGGTACAATACGCACGTACGCGCGTATATGCATGGTAGTGTGAATGGGGCCTAAACAAACATGCATCAGTACTTGTACTTGTAAGTACTTGGACAAGTATCAGTACTTGCAAAAATGGTATCGGTGCATCACTTAGATATTTTTTTTTTTTTTAAAAAGCATACATTAAAACAGAGATGTACAAATCCCAGGAGCTCTGTGTGCTCCTTACAAATCACAGATGCCTCCTAACTTTTTAGTTTTTCTCTAGTCTAGTCTTGGAGCTTGAAAAGTATCTGTACTTGTACTTGTACCGAGTACGGTACTTGGTATCGATGCATCCCTACAAATAAGAGAAATTGTATAGATATTTTTTCTCTAGAAATAAAACCAAACCGTGGATGCCAATTTGTTTCCAAATGCAGTGATATAACATATATATACACTCATATAATCTTTATGGATTAAAATGAGTAATGAAATATGAATTTTAGGTAGGTATAATGGGCACTGCTTCAAAATCTTCTCCACATTACCCTAGCCTGAATAGTTAAATTTTTAGGGGCTCTGCTTTAAACCAAATGAGCTGCCTTCCAAGTGTTCCCCCTAGTGGTGACAAGGATCGGTTTCTTCAACAGCCAACTGCATGTTAAAAGAAGTTGACAATTTGCATATCATGGTGGAAGAAACATGCTGATCTCCTCAAATCCAATGTTTCTTGTGCTGTTTAAAAGGGCAATGATGGCTAAAATATATCTTCCAGAGACAAAGTGTCACCCACTCCAGCCCAGCTTGGGCTCTTCACCTGCAAGTCTGGTTTGAAACTCCATCTGGTATGCAAAGGATGGGTGGAATTAATTCAAAGTACTAATTGAGCTTATAAAAATATTCCAGAAATTTTCCAAGTACATTTTCAGCCGCAGTTTAGTTTTTATTTTGTATGCGCATGTGTGCGTGGGACAAAACTCAGGGTACAGTGAAAGGGATTTGAACACATGAACTGCATATCAACGGGTCAGAAACTGAACATTACCACATACAAAACTCTTTCTAGAGTTTGGTTCTGGCTACTAAGCCCTTTTTACATTCCAATTTTAATTCTAATGACAGTGTAGTTTTAAAGCTGAACTCCAAGGAATCAGCTAAACACACAATCGACTGATATATGGAGGTTATTTTACCTACCCAGTGGTTTGTATTTCTGGTCATTCCGTCCTGACATTTATACAGCTTTGTCAGACAGAACAGCCACAGTGTTTTCTCTAGTCACTTCCCTGCCCCAGCCTATGAATAGACCATGAAGGAGCAACAGCAAGCTGAGAAACTAATAACTCTGCTCACTCTGCTTTCTCCTCCTGTCAGAATATTCATTGCTAGCACGTGTTAATGGAGCAGAATCCAATTGGCTCCTAATGCTGAAGGGCTGATACCAAATAAAATTCAATTATTTGCACTAGCTGCATTCATAAATACCTTTAATACCATTTTAGGTGGAAAAGGAATGGTAAAAACAGGCGGCTGATCCACGTTTTTACTGCTCCAGCAACCTGCCTGCAAATTAACATGGTGGCACCTCAGGATTGTACACATTGCCATGGCTGCGATGCTTCATTTAACTTTGGCATGGCAAGCGGTCAATGAGCGGTCAATGAGACCATGTTGGTCGCTTGGTGCACTGTACTACAATGCAAGATATTGCTTGGGAGCAGAAAAAAAAATAGGCATTCAGGTGGCGGCAAGAGTATCACCTTCTGAATGACTGCAACACGCCATTCAATCGCCTCTGAAAAGTGATCCACCATGGACCACTTCTCAGAGGGGCGGCAAATTCACGCGCCAATGTGAACAAGGCATTCATGAATACATATTAAAATTAATAATTTTATATCTTCCTGGAGTTTAGCTTTACCTCAATATCCAATTTTGTGGTATGTTCCATTTACATTCCAGGTTTTAATATAAATATTCTGGTGACAGATTAAAGACGTCTCCATTAAGTTATTACAGATTTCAGAAGTGCTGAGTCAACCAGAGAACAGCATGTTAATAAGTCAATTTTCTGGATTGCCGTGTGCCTTCATTCATCTACATTAAAGAAACTGTGCAGCTGATAATATAAAACCTTCAAACCCCAGTATAAGAGACATTTATGATATATTTGGATTTGCTACAACAGTAGACTTTCACTAATAATGGCACTCAAAAAGTTATGGCCTTTGCTGAATCAACTCTCTAATAGCTAATTTGATACATTTTAGAGGTTCAGAGGTAAACAGTGAGCTCCATTTCAATGATATCCTGTGTGCTTTCCAAATGGGTTTTATTCTACAGCACCCTGGACAGCAGCCTGGATGTAGACTGGGCAAATATTCAGGACCTTGGACAGCAGGATATCACGTGAAGTGTATCAAAGCCCAAAACCAAAATCCAAAATAAGATTTTACAGCAATTAATAAAAACTGACCATTGTAAGCACCTCTGTCAGTGTTAAATGGTTTGGCTCAACCATCTATCTGCCATTTTGTGGACAGCTTGGTCTGCTAAAGGAAGTTGAGAAATAACAGACTTACTGGCCAGATAGCCAGATAATCAGCTGAAAAGGAAAAAAGCCTAAAAGGAGAAGTCTAATGCAGCCACCACCTCTGAGGATTGGTAAACTGCAATATATTACATTTTGCTTTTGGGTTTAGGTAGACTTTTAAGTGTATGGAAACCCTAACAATGAACTTCTCTTATTTGCTCCCTTTTGGTCTGTTTATTATTCCATTGGAAGCATTTAGTTATATCTGTTTGATAAGTGCAAACAATCCCCAAACTGTTGTTTTTGTCAGAATTCAGAGCTGTCCTGTGTCCTATGCACACTTCCTGTGTTGTCCCAAAGTACCCTTCAATTTCCATTTGTGGACTACAGAATGATTAGCCTTTACGTTGTAGAAATTTGAATGTTGAGTAGTCTAATAAAAAGACTATCATACCAGGAAGCACACTGCTATTTTTCAGAGAATGCACTGTATTTTTTTTTATTGGACTACAAGGCATTCTCTGATTGGGTGAGGTGGCAATTGTGACATCACCCACCCTTACTGTACACCTCATCCAATCAAAGACAGCCTTTATTCACCAAAAACCTTACAAGGCATTCTCTGATTGGATGAGGTGGCGATTGTGATGTCACCCGCCCCTACTGTACACCTCACCCAATCAAAGACAGCCTTTATTCACTGAAACATTACAAGGTATTCTCTGAATGGAGGTGGTGCCAAGTAGACAACTCCTTGTGCTAAGTGTGCAGAGGAGAAGCAACCAAAATAGCTACTTATTCAGTAGTACAAACTCCTTCCACTATAGTCACCAATAATGAATATCCAGGGTAAGGCACATATGGCACATGGCCCGGGTCCCAATTTATAGAGGGGTGCTGCTCCATGGGTCAGCAAAAGTTCGCTGACCAATGGAGACAGCTGAATTTTTTCTCTCCCCACCCCTCTCTCATACACATCTCCCCGCCTGGCTCTTAGCCAGCAGGGATGATCTGGTCAGTGTCCATTCAATCTCATGGCAAACAGTGATGTCACTGGTTGCAAGAAGCAGGGTGTGACACCGGCCAGAGCATCCCTGTTTGCTAAGAGCCAGATGGGGAGATGTTTAAGAGCCATACATATCTCTCCGCCTGGCTCTTAGCAACCAAGGATGCTCTAGCCAGTGTCCCACCCAGCTCCTGGCAACCAGTGATGTCAGTGGTAGACAGGCACTGGGCAGGATGCCAGGGGTGCAATTTATTGTAGCTACGTCTCTTATTAATAATATGCACTATATTTCTCTGATAAGATATGTAAACTGTTGTTGTACCTTCTCTTCGGGCATTCGCAATGATTTTGGCTGAAGATTTGCTCATGACGTGAACCACAAAGAGCGGGCAGTTGACTGAGTTGGCGATAGTGATGGCTCTCTGAGTGGCTTCGGCCTCTACTTCCTCCGGGCGACACAGTTCATGACCCTCTGGGCCTGTGATACCCAGGGACAGCATCTTCTTTGCTCCCTTCAAAGGTAAAGTGTCTATTAATATGTGCACATGGATAGAATCGAAAGCTGCAGAAAAAAAGAAAAAGGTTCCTGGCGCGTAATTACCATTATATGTCTTTTCAGCGTTTTTAGTTACAGTGTAACTCTGGTCTAATCTTTATCTTGTTTTAGAAAGAACAGTGAAGTATTAGAACAGCATAGCAGTATTTTTTGCTGTCTATAACCCCATTGAAGTGTCCTTGGAGTTTTGGATTTAGACATACTTTTATATACCAGGAAGATTGGTAAATCTCGGATCTAAATGCCAACCAAAATTCTGATCCAGCACTTCAACATATCTTCATTTAAGTAGACAGGAACTGCATAACTTATTCAAACACATATTTCATGCAGCAACTTGGTATATATCAATATCAAATGATAAGATATCTTGGAAATTAAACTTTGGGGCAGATATAAAAAATCCTATTTATAAAAAAATAAATCCCTATTTTTTTAAAGCTGAACACTGTGTAACTATACTATGTAACTCCAAGTAAGCAGCTCAATAAGTTAACATATTTTTATTGGGACTATATTGTCCAAAGTCTTAGACCTGGTATTGGGTAAGAGTGCAGCAGCTCTGTATCCCAGTACTGCTATACAGGCTGCTACCAAGACAGATTTATGGTGCTGTGCCATTTCTATATATAAATACATATAATGATTTTAATGAATGTATAACTGGAAGAAATTATGCTTTTAAAAAGCTGCCTAAAGTTTAGCTAGTGTAGATATCTTACTCGTTATATTAGCTTCCTGACCTGTAAACCCCTTCACAGCAAACTGGAAGGAGCAATACTGTAAGCCTATTAGACACTACTTCATTGCTCTGTAAAGAGGACCTACATGATGAAAAAGAAGAATGATGACCAATGTGCTGCTACTTAAAGGAGAACTATGAGCTGAGAGATTTACAATCATCTTCAAAGTTAGAGCCGACATGTGACATTGAAACTGTCACACGTCGGCTCTATAGATCGGGAAGTGAGCAAACACATACCGTCGCTCGCTCACTTCCTGATCATCTCCCTGCAGAGAGCAGTGACTGTCAGTCACCGATCCCCGCAGGGATTCCCCCTTCCCTCTCCGATCCTCCTCTGTATATAGAGAGTGATAGCCCGCTATATACTGAGCTTTGGGTTAGGGGAGGAGGTTAGTATATGACCTCCCGTGACCCTAAGAGAACTATGGGATAAAAAGGTTACCCCATAGTTCTCTTTTAAGGCTCTGTTCACATTATGTGATGTGGGTGCGCACGCAATGCCGCACGCGATCCTACATCAAATGTTGCAATGTTAGGTGTCCTACTGGGCCATTATTTTTAATGACACCCCAACGCAGCTAGCCATTGCACATGCCTTGTATCACATCACATCGGATAGTTACCTATGACCATGCCATGTGGTGGGATGCAATTTAAAAAAAGGTGCACATACTTTAAAATGAATGGGCTGCCTACTGCAGCACACTACATGCGCATACTGCAACACCTCTGCGATGTTGCACTGAAAAGGTGTGAATGAGGGCTTACTGTCCAATCACAGGCTTAGATGGATCCTTGGCCAAGTAGTGTTCCTTAAACTTCAATGAAAAAATTGAGGTCAGAAAACTGGAAGAAAGGAATTATAAATCTATTGCATTGACTGTTCTATACACTGTATGTATTTCAATGACACATTTAGCAGTTTTCCTGAAGTTCAGCTTTGAATATAAACCCAAAATGAATGTATGACCACATGCAGTGCATTCTTTTTTTCACTTTTTGCAGTAGTATGAAGACAATCTTTAGTTAAACCACTAGATGTCATCATTGTATCATCTTTATTTTAAAGGCTTCAGTCATCCTTTACCTCAGCAATTAAATCTCCATTCTCGGCATGCACCTGGGCGATGGCCCCAATGTTCTTACAGCAAGTAAATGCCTGATGCAGCTCGATGTCATGAACCATATACAAGTCCTTGTAAGCCATGAACATCTTAAATGAATTGACACCTCTGTCTCTCACAAGGATTTCCATCTCTTCCTTCACCTGTATAAATAAGAACATTAACATCTTGTTAGATGAATGAAACCGCAAAAGCATATAAAAGATTACGTCGATCTCATTGGTATTGGTATACTTTATGCAGATATAGTAAACTAAATGTGAGATTGTAGTCCATCATGGTAGCAAGCTTGGAGTGCATACTGGTAGGGAACAGGCTTTTCGAATCAGGCTGTGGCAGGTATTTATCCAATTTAATTGGATAAATACTTAAATTTTCACCTACTCCTTAAAATTATAACAATTGCATACAGTAAATAAGCTGGCAAGTGGTTGCTTAGACATTAAAAGCTTTCATGGAGGGATTGTCTACTCTACCCATAACCCCAATGTCTGGGCATTTTAGAAGGCATGAGCTGACACATTACGGTGCCTACAATCCAGGCAGTAGTTTATATAGGACTTGTTTGCTTTAATTGCCTTATCACTCGCTCCCACAGCGTCCTCCACTGAATGCAATTGTTCCCCTGAAGCTGCTTCTCCTTGGCACTCCATCCACTGGTCACACTCTGACATCATAAATGGGGATGAGCTTAGGTTTGAACCAAACCCAAGCTCATCTGAACTCAGAAAAAAAGCCAACAGTGTTGGCTGTGGCCGGGGCATTTCTCGTCCTGCAACTCAACTATTCTTCACTCTCCCCATGCCAGAATGCTAGGTGTAAGCCTGGACTCTGACCTCTACTTTCAGGCTCACATCACTGTCCAAATCTTCCCACCTTTACCCCTATCACATCTCCAAAATTCAGCCCCTTTTAACCATTGAAATCACAAAGCTACTAATCTGCTTACGTGTTATCTCTCACTTGGACTATTGCAGCTCCCACCTCATTGGCCTACCTCTACACAGGCTATCCCCCCTTCAGTCCATCATGAATGCTACTGCCAGTCTTATCCACTTTACCAACCACTCACCATCTGCAAAACCCTTCTGCCAATTACTCCAACCTTGTCTCAAAATATTACCATCCTCCCAAGACCTTCTTCTCTCTAGCTGCCTCACCTCTTCCCATGCTAACCTCCAGGAATTCTCCAGAGCCTCTCCCATCCTTTGGAACTTCCTACCCCAACCTGTCCCACTATCTCCTTCTTCCTTCTACACCTTTAAGTAATCCCTAAAAGCTCATCTCTTTGGGGAAGCCTATCCCACGTCTATATTGTAGTTTCTCATGAGCCTCCTAGCCTCATTGTCTTGAATAGTATTGTAACTGTACTGTCTCTCGACATATTGTAAAGCTCTGCGCAAACTGTTGGAGATATAAAACATTCTGTATAATAATAATATTAAGACTTGCAATCCTGCATTGTAAGCAAGGATGCCAAGGGCCTATTCACAACAGTGTCGAAGGGGAGAGGAGAGAGCTGGTTGTTGGGAAAGTGAAAGATAAGGAAAGTAAAGGTGCTTTCTAATGGTACTCGAGTCAAAAACAAGTGTTTAACCCTTGCACTGCAGAGGAGCCCCACTGCAAAGGTAGTTTTTCTGCAGAGTTTAGTTTTAAGCCCTCCTGCTGTTTTAAGTGCAAAAAAAGTGCAGTTATTTCCAAGCAGAGGCTAAACCTGGCACATTATCATTTTGTATCCTGGCTGTAATATAAAATGAAGCAGAGTCTAATTCAGCTGTATAAATTAGATGGCTTACCTTGTCACTCCACCAAGTCACAGCCACATGGAGAGCATAGTCACAGCACACTTTGGGGTCAGCCCAGCTCTTCCAGGTGTCAAAAGCTTCAATCAGAGAATGACCTTTCTTGGGGATGGCAAAGTCGATGATCATGGTGGTTCCTCCTGCCACCGCAGCCTATAATGACAATATACTGAATGATCAATGTGAAACCCGAAGCCTTTACCCCTCACAAGTTCCCAAGACCCAGATGAAATATTCAATAATGCAATTTATTAAAATGCTACATTTAGGGCAGAAATATTCAGTTTGGGACATTTTCTATCACATAACCTTATGCCAGTGCTCTTTAAAAGCACTCCTTTTAGTATTTACAATGACGGATGAAGGATCCCTGAGTGGCCATGATATGTTGCCTTTTAATGACAAGATGTACGCACGTCAATAAATACCATTTTGGACATTTGACCTTAGTGTGCTGGTGACATATTATATCTACTAGGATACCATTAGAATACCATTTTACTTACCTTATTCCTCACTCCTGCAGACTTTCTCCTCTGTGCGACCAGACCCCTGAAACCGCTCCTCTATGGTGCTCCATCCGTTGGTCAAACGTGGTCATCCTCATGTATAGTGCATGACCAGCAGTCCTGCATTGCAAGTAAGGATGCTGATTGAGGGCTTGCCCACAACTGGGAACAGAAGGGAAGAGGGGAGAGCCAGTACCCAAGGAGCGAGGGATAAGATAAGTAAAATGGTACCCTAGACAAAAATGCACATTTAACCCTTGCAGTTTGGTGGGGGAGGCACCACTTCAAGGGTAGTTTTAAAATTTCCCGAGTTCAGCTTTAATCTGCAGCAACTAAGGCAATATCCAAAGCTTTCTGCTGTGGTGTCACATTAAAAGTGATTGCAGCCATGTTAGTGCACTTGCAACAAACAAATAAATACTGTCCATGATGCATTTTTTATTTGCGCTAACAGTTAAATTTTTAGGACAAGTTTGAAAATGTAACTGTTGTTAAAAGTATTGCGGACTGTACTCTAATATTTTGCTGTTGAGTAAGAAAATGCAGAACCAACAATAAAAGTGTTTGTTATATTGCCTCAACATGTTCTACATAACTGTGCTCTTGTATTACATGTGATTAAATCGCACCGATAAGAATTTTTGTTAAAAAACTGTTATAAATACATTTCCCACCAGATGGCAGAACCAGCTTACATTTGTAACAGACTGAAGATGGCTTGTTACATGGAAATTCATACCCCCAATGCGTCTGCTTTAGGTTTTTTTATGTCAATATAAGCTGCCTATATCATCTCTATTAACCTCCCTGGCGGTATGATTATCTCGGTATTTTTTCTTTCTTTTTTTTCCTATTTTTTACTTTTGAATTTCTCGCCGGTTCCGCCCCCCTGCGACGCCGGCACTCGCAGGGAAGGAACCCGGAAGACGCCCGAGTGTGGCTCAGGGTTACCGCTTTTGGTACAGAAAATTAACCCCGAGCCACACTCAGGATTACCGCCAGGAAGGTTAAAGAAGAACCTCACTCCCCCAATACATTTTTTTCTATCCCTGATTCCTCTCTTACCTTGTCTGCTGGGTTTGTCCTCAAAAAACATGCTTGCATGTCCAGCGAATCCAGCGCTCCACTGCTGCATACCAGATCCCAGGCTGTCTATTCTGGGTTTTTACAGTGGGTCCCCTGATGATGCACTGTGTGGTGTATTTTGCCCAATGCATGTGCAGTGTGGTGTATTTTGCCCAATGCATGTGCAGTGTGGTGTAATTTGCCTAATGCTTGCACAGTGTGGTGTAGTTTGCCCAATGCATGCACAGTGTGGTGTAGTTTGCCCAATGCATGCGCAGTGTGGTGTAGTTTGCCCAATGCATGCGCAGTGTGCTGTAGTTTGCCAGTTGCATGTGCAGTGTAGTGGAGATTGCCCGATGCATGTGCAGTGTGGTGTTGTTTGCCTAATGCATGCACAGTGTGGTGTAGTTTGCACAATGCATGCAATTTGGTGTAGTTTGCCTAATGCGTGTGTAGGGGGGTGTAGTTTGCCCAATGCATGCGCAGTGGGGTGTAGTTTGCCCAATGCATGCGCAGTGGGGTGTAGTTTGCCAGGTGCATGTGGAGTGTGGTGTAGTTTGCCAGGTGCATGTGCAGTGTGGTGTAGTTTGCCTGATGCATGTGCAGTGTGGTGTAGTTTGCCCGATGCATGTGCAGTGTGGTGTAGTTTGCCCGATGCATGTGAGGCTTGCCCAATGCATGTGCAGTGTGGTGTAGTTTGCCCGATGCATGTGCAGTGTGGTGACGTTTGCCCAATGCATGTGCAGTGTGGTGTAGTTTGCCCGATGCATGTGAGGCTTGCCCAATGCATGTGCAGTGTGGTGTAGTTTGCCTAATTCATGCGCAGTGTGGAGTAGATTGCCAAACTGCACATGCATTAGAAGAATTAGGAAAAGCCATAAACTGAACAAACTAGGCTTCATCTGCAACTAAGATATCACTTTTGCATACCTCCCAACGTTTAGAGATGAGAAAGAGGAACACCGTCAAGCACAATAGTTAGGAAATGGACACATCCTTGCCATGACCTCAGATACTACTTATAGACCATTAAGAATTTAAAAAGCCAAAACAAGGATTTTTTTCCTACCATTTCTTTTTCTTTATACTGGCTTTTCGAAATAGTAAATATAGTAATTAGGAGATACGATAAAGGATTTAGTGCAGGATAACACTGCTGGTAGTTAAATAGAATATTTGCATATATATATATATATATATATACAGTATATACATCAGACCAAAAAGAGAGACAACTGGGGAGGAAAGAGGGACAGGGGGATTTGGTTCCAAATGAGGAACAGTTGGGGGTGTGCTTTTGGGGGGACAAAGCATTGGGTAAATAATTAATGTTATTTAATAATAATTAATTAATTAATTACAGAAGGTTCTAACAGCAAAAGCAGTTGGCAAGAGGCTGCAGTCCTCCCAAGGGGCACTGTGAAAACCAGGTTTAGTTTAGTTGCTGGGGGTTTTCCTAGTACATTAATATAAAAATAATGAATGTTTAACATAATATTGTTATTGCTAAAAACTGTTATTGTAATATAGTTGGAAGAGTCTTTATTCCATGGTCCATTACATCAAGTGATTTTTAGTCTGTGACCACACTGGGGAGATTTCCATCACTTACTGTACTTGTAAACTCATACAAGAAATGTTTTATATATCTAAGAAATGACAGAAAAAGAATGGAAATATCCCCGATCAGGACATAGATCACAATAATATCCTTGCTATATATAAAAAGAAATACATTGTTTTGGCTGAAGTTGAGCTTTTATGTAATTTCAGATTTGCAAATGTGAAAATATTTTTGCTATTGTGTTATATTAGAGAGGTATTAATTATATTTGTAGATAGACTGAGCTCAGTATTTGCCTCAGCCTCATTCAGCCTTCCTGGACCTAAATTTAGGAAGGACAGATTTACTCTGTAATTGGGGCACAGCTTCCAGAGTACAGGTCCTCTTTACCCACTTGAGGGCCAGCATGTTACACCCCCTTCTTGTCCAGGCCATTTTTTAGTTTCCAGCCTTGTTATATTTTTTCTGACATGTACTCAGGTCATACAACACTGCACCAAAAAAAAAGAATATACCATTTTTGGGACAGACAGAGCTTTCTTTTGGTGGTATTTAATAAGCAAACAATTGTTGTTGTTGGTTTTTTTTTATATATAAAGGAAAATTAAAAATAAACCTGTTTTCCTTACTTTCTGTTATAAAACATAGCGAATAAATATCTCAGAATAGTACAAATTTTTTTGCAAAGTGGGAACCCCAAGGTGATCTGATTTTTTTGCCACAATTGTTTTTGAGGGGATTAAAACATGAAGCTAGGTAATGGTGTATAAGATACAATAAATGTACAAGGCAAATACAGTGGGAGGATGGAGATGAAGGGGTTAATGTACAGATGTGCAGGATAAGAGAGGAGAGTGGTTAATGTCCAGGTCAGAGACAGAATGGCACTGACATATACTGTAGAGGAGGGAATGGGCACTGGTACTGGATGATACTAGGGTCATCCAGTACCAGATGGCTCCAATCAGAAAGCTATTTGTCAGCAAACAATATATGATGCTGTGATTGGTTACAGTAAACATTTATTACAGAGTCAATTTCCTTGGCTCTGTACCCCAGTGGCAGACCTAAGGAACTAAGGGCCCTTGGGCAAGATTTCTTTCTTGATCTCTATATACACAGCGATCTCTATATACACAGCGATCTCTATATACACAGCGATCTCTATATACTCTGATCTCTATATACTCTGATCTCTATACACACTGATCTCTATACACACTGATCCCTATATACTCTGATCTCTATATACACTGATCTCTATATACACACTGATCTCTATACACACTGATCTCTATATACACACTGATCTATATACACACTGATCTCTATATACACTGATCTCTATATAGTCTGATCTCTATATACACACTGATCTCTATACACACCGATCTCTATATACTCTGATCTCTATATACACCGATCTCTATATACACAGCGATCTCTATATACACACTGATCTCTATACACGCCGATCTCTATATACACTGATCTCTATATACACAGCGATCTCTATATACACAGTGATCTCTATATACTCTGATCTCTATATACACCGATCTCTATATACACAGCGATCTCTATATACACACTGATCTCTATACACACCGATCTCTATATACTCTGATCTCTATATACACCGATCTCTATATACACAGCGATCTCTATATACACACTGATCTCTATACACACCGATCTCTATATACACTGATCTCTATATACACTGATCTCTATATACTCTGATCTCCATATACTCTGATCTCTATATAGTCTGATCTCTATAAACACTGATCTCTATATACACTGATCTCTATATACTCTGGACGCCCACACGCCAGCCGCAGCTCCCGCCCGCAGCTCCCGCCCGCAGCTCCCGCACGCACACACGCACAATGGAAGCGACATCCGTCGGGACTGGCAACAGCACGCCGCCTTCCGGGGCCTAGTCCACTCCTCCCCCAGCCAGGTAAGACATCCCCCGAAAATATTATTATTTCGTGCAAAAAAATAAATAA